CAGGTCCCAATGGTTCCTTATGTGAACACTGTCTCATTTTTTCTACTCATTCGTGTTCAACAAGAAAATGTGAAAGTGCTCCTTTGACCAAACTTGATTAGAAAAAAACATTAATTTCATCATTGTAATGCAATTTCACCACCTAACGCTATCGTTTTAATGTATATTTTTTTAGAATATTACATTTTTAATAGCGCGATTCTATTTTCTTATACACGTATTCACATTATAAGTAGCTAAGATAAAACTTAACTCATCAGTTTTCGTATTTTGTCAAGACACTTAACCAATCAATTTAGACTTAAACCCAAGATAGTTTTCCATCATTATCTTTTATGAATTTATAAGGCTATAGACTTTTAGTGTTTGAACTTTCAATTTTTTACATGTTTTGTAATAATATATCATTTGACATGTTAACTATTTTTTTTTATAAAGTCCATGTTAACTATTACAAATGTAAATGTCTTCTTCCAATAATAGTATACTTTTCTTCGGCGGTCTGATATAATATTACTTTTTGACTTTTTTGTGTTGAATCGGCGTGAGGAATCTATATTCAATATGTGATCGAACAAAAATAACAAAAGAACAACAAGGTGGATTTTTGTTTTTTTTTATCAAAAAAACAGTACATGCTGAAAAAACATTTATTTAGAATTATACTAGTGTGGTATCTGCGCCATGCGCGAGACAATATTTTTAGATAAAGGATATCAAAATAAAATTAAAAAATATTCGAGTGAAATACTAATTCAATTATTCAAATGATAATAGTTCAATGGTTAACATCTGGCTAATCAAGTTAAAAGCTATATATTTGTTAGTATTATGAATAATAACATCCTACAGAAATACCAAACATAATTATTTTTTTTTTATAATAATGGGTACATTTTTATTTAAAATATACCGTCTAAGAAAAATGAACCTCAAGTTTATATGAATTAGATACGATATCGAAGGATTATCTCTATTGTATATTAGTAAAAACATCATTGGTATAATAATTTTTAGTGTTTGTGATCCAATTATTTATATTTTAATTTTTATGAATAGTTTAATCGTTTTTATCCATTTCAAATCGCTGATATGATGAATTTCTTTTTACTTTAGCATAAACTTTTTTGCAAGTTTTGCTGATGGATTGAATAAAACATTGGTGGCACAAATGAAAGGAAAAATGCTCAACTTAGATGGCTTTTTACATTAACATATACATTTATATGTCTTATCGTGTTTTAGTATAAAACGTGTGAATTCATATGAAAGTTTAAATCAATGTGATCAAGTTTTTTTTTCCAAAATTGTGGACTCTATAGGTTCTGGCGAAATATACATTTTGTATATTTTGTGAAGTATGGATTGGAATAGAAGAATATGTTGTGTGTTTTATCCAATACGTTATTAAAATATTGCTTTTTATCTTTTGTAATNATTATGTTNNTNTATTATATGTTTTTATTTTACATCATGTTGTTTTCAACTACTATATACGATTCGTTAACTTTTAGTGTTTGTAATCCCATTATTCATGTTTTCATATTTATGAATGGTTTAATCGTTTTTGGCCAGATATATCAAATCGCTAATGTTATAATGAATCTCTTTTTTTTCTTTAGCATATATAATTTTTTTATACATATACATATATTGTATTTTGTTTTCTTAGATAAATGATGGTAATATGAAATATTAGTGTAATTGTGATAATGATTGGAAGATTGTAGTTTAACTATGAACTGTAAATATTTTTAACATTATTAAAAACTGTAAACGTGCAATGGTTAATTATGACATTTAATTATTAATATATTTGAATTTTTTTTTACAATGATTTTGATGTTTATGCATCATTATTTTCTTTTTCAGATTTTCTAAGTAAAACAGTCTCAATCTAATGTAGCGAGAGACGCAAAATTAAAAATGTGCAAAAAATTATGAATTACTAAAACATTAAACTACGTACACATATGAATTTTTGAAACTCCCACCTTACGCTAAGACATACGATGCCTTGGTCTTCGATATACTCAGTAGCAACAAACAACTAAACCTTGAAGAAAGCCTTGGATTTTGACATATATACAAAGCAGAGTTACAATGAAGAAGATCATCCCTGATATGTGAAACAATGTCTTTAAACAACGCATCAACTGTGTGGAATGAACTTCGAGTTTGACTTCGAAGACGCACCAACTATACAATTTAACTTTTCGTGAAGCTCCTCCTCCCACACCACTCGCTTTTTCTTGGAGGTGGAAGCACAATCACGTTCATGATCATAATCCTCTTCAATTCATTTGTTGCTCTTGTTAGGTTTTTTTTTTTGTGGTGAAATCTCCCACAGATGATAAATTATCCGTGACTGCTGCCGCCTTCCCATCTATCTCTCTCGCAGCCACACTCCTCCTTCCTTGCATCTTCTTTGCCATGAAAGATGATAATTTTAAAATTTAGACAAAACAGAAAATAATAATCAAATCAAAAGAAACTTAAGTTCTTACCTTTCTTAAATCACAAGAGATTAGTGGAGAGAGACAAAACTAAGAAAACTAATTGGTAAAATCTAGTGATCAAAGAAAAAACCAAATTGAATCAAATCCGAGAAACTATATATATTGAAAATCGAACAGAAAGAAGAGAAAAATATACACTACAAATTGAAGATCGTAAGTCGAGAACTGCAATCATCAACAAAGAAACAAACGATGTCATATATTAGAAGAAATTACAATAAAAAAATCTGAAAACCAAACTAAATTCGTGTATAAGCAAACAAAACAATGAATTTTAGATGATAACTCGTTCGGTATGTTTTAATAAAAAGAAGCCAAAAATGGTTAGGCGGGGATAATATGGTTTAGTAGAGCACATGTAAATCAATAAAGAAATAATCGAAATGAGACCCCATGGAGTAATCGTTATAAAAGAGAAGAAGAACATACTAAAAAAGAGAGTATTAAAACGACAAAAAACAAATCGATGAACAAAACATCAAACATAATCGATGAATCAATGAACCAAAAGCCTTTGAGACTCTCCCACAAAGCAAAACACAACAAAGCAGAGAAATTCAGAAGGATATAATTTTTTCTCTAGAGAACTCGACCTCGTAACCTCTTTATATGTGAGATTTTTAATCATGTTTTAATAGTTTTTGCTTGTGATCTCCTATTTTCCTTTGTTTGAAGGTTTTCTTTTTCGTAACTTAAAAAAAAAAACACAATCACAAAGTTAGGTTTAAAATGACAGCAATATTGTAGATTGAGAACTGTGAGTTTTGGGTCATCATCACAAACTTGAGATACTGATCATATAACTCCCATAGCAAGAACCCCAATATGGTGTCTCTGGCGAGGCTCTTTAAAGCCTTTTGAATCTATCTGCTCGATGTAATACTATCATCAGATGAATCTCCTCTTCCTACCAAATCCCTAAGCCGGAGATCCCAGAATCCGAGACCGATGCATAAATCACACCGTTCATGTGTCTTTTTTCTATCACACCCACCACAGTTTTACACCCATTCACTGACTTGATCCTCTTCAACGACCAAGCAAGATACTGTCAACTCAAAACATGTTTCGTCAATCCGTATCGACAAAATGTATCTACAACTGAATTGATATTAAATGGTACTTTGATATCAAAATTATACTGTTTTAGATCGATAAAAGATAAGGACAATGGAACTTTATAAAAAAACATAATACAACTTACTTTGATATC